TGAATGACTGAATGTAGTGTAAAGCGCTTTGGGGTCCTTAAGGACCAGAAAAGCACTATACAAATGCAGGCCATTTACCATTTTTAAACTAAACTTGGTAATAAAACTTGCATTATGAGTAAACATTTTAAAAAGTTAACATATTTGGTAACAATTTATAATACAACCTGCAACTAATGGTGTAATTCCCCTTTAATTAAACGTCATTTCAATGGATTTTGTTTGAAATTCCATCCATCCATTTTCTTCCGCTTATTCGGGGAAAAGATGCAGGGGCAGCGGTCTAAGCAGAGAAGCCCAGACCTCCCTCTCCCCAGCCACCTCCAGTTTGTCCAGGGGAACACCAAGGTGTACCCAGGCCAGCCAAGAGATATAATCTCTCCAATGTGTCCTGGGTCTGCCCAGGGGCCTCTTCCCAGTGACTTTAACTGTCAATATGACCGTGAATAGGACAGATGACCGATGGACAAATGCTGAAAAACACTAGAAACTATCCGTGCACCCAGAGGACTCAAGAAATCTCCTAACATGAGGCAAGGGTTGGGATTTCAGGTTAACTTGTGTTTGTGATATTGTTCTTCTCTCTGTTCTTTCACAGTGTCATCATACAGGATTGTACTGTTGGGGAAATGTGAGGAAAAGAAGATCAAACTCGGTAACCTGATCAATGGGTACCAAGGTTTTCACTGCCAAAAACAGTCACCAATAATGCACTGTGTGGCCTGCTGTAGAGAGTGGAGAGGAAAGCCATTAACAGTGGTGAAAACTCCAAACCTGCTCACTCTGTCTGAGGAGGACACGAGAAGAGAAGTAAAGAGCTGTGTGAGTCTCTGTCCTCCTGGACCTAATGTTCTGCTGCTGTTGGTGAAACCTTCTGATTTCACTAACGAAGACACAAACACTCTGAAGTCCATACTGAGTTTGTTTGGTGAAGACTTCTATAAACACTTGATGGTCATCATCACAGATAAGGATGAAATGAGTTCCTCTTTAAATGACCTTGTTAGAAAATGTGGAGGACAGCATTACAACATGTTTGAAGATAATTGTGAATCATTAATGGAGAAGATTCAGAAAATTGTAAATGAATCCAATGAACCACTCCTGTTAAAGAAAGAACTCATCAAACCATCTTTAAACCTGGTTCTGTGTGGGAGTGAGAAGACGTCAGCAGCCAAGGCCATTTTAGGTCAGACTGAGCTTCATTCAGTCTCCAACTCATCAGAGTGTGTTAAACATCAGGGAGAGGTGTGTGGACGT